CTCCGTGTCCCCCGCTTGGGGGGGCTCGGGGGGAGGCGCCCTGCGGGGATGTCCCGGGAGCGCTGGAGCTGCCCCGGGGCCACCTCTGGAAAGGGGTGAAGTGCCACCAAGGCTGGTGGCGCCGCCGCCGGGAGGACGGGGCGGGCCGAGGCTGGGGCTCAGCATCGGGACCCCCCCTCCCCATCTCCCTGCCCTCTGTCCCCACTCGCCACCCCGCTAGCCCACGGCCGCAGGTGTGGACACAGAGCCCGACACCGACGGGCGAGGCTCGAGGGGGATCCACCCGACGCCGAAGAGAACGCTTTGAAAACTTGTTTTTTCTCACCGCGAGCTTGCACCAAGACAGTTGGCTGCACAGAAGTTCACGTCTCGGGCACCTTTTCCTCCGCGTCACGTCCATTAGCCCTGACCCCAGCAGACCACATCCCGAGCGGTGGTGGAGGGGCCCCGCTAATGGAGGCCTCGGCGACGCGCGCAGGCAGAGCCCCCCCTCTGCGCCCAGACCCATTAGACGGGGCCTCTGTGCAGAGCAGCCGTTTGCTGGAGGTGACGCAGCCTGAGGAGCTCCGCCGCGGCGGGCAGGGGGTGGAGGTGCTGCCGTGCCCGCGGCGCAGCGCTGACCGCTTCCCCGGGCTCTTTTCTCCTCGCTGGCACAAGGCGCGTGTCCCAGCAAAGCTCACGCAGGGGCTGGGCGAGGCTGGGCCCGCCGTGCTGGCCTTCCCCAGGCACGATGGCTTCTTGCGGGTGTCAGAGCAGGTGGCCCGCAGCGATGCTGCCCAGGGCCCTGCTGGCGTGGCGGGGTGCCATGGCCTGTCAGCTCCGGGGCGCTGCGGGAGACTCCTCAGCCCCACGCCAGCCCCCTCTGCAGCTCGTTCCCCTTCCCATCTGGCCAGGAGGGGAAGAGGGAAGGCAGGAAGCTTTTGCAGGGCGCAGGTGACCCTGAGAGAAAGCCAGCAGTGCCTGTGGGTTGCGGAGTTAGGGCTGCAGAGCTGAGAACAGAAACAGGAAAAGTACAGGCAGAGCAGGCCGGGCAGCGCGGGCAGCCGGTGCTGCGGGAGCGGCCCGAGAGTGCTGCTGATGCAGCAGAAGGTGGCTCGGTGAGCGGCTGTGATGGATCCCGCTCGGTGATGGATCCGGCTCGGTGATGGATCC